TGGCAAAAAACATTATAAATTGTGGTCACATGACCATAAGATACTACATATGTCCATAAATGCAGATTAGTTACCAAGTGCCCCAAATGCGGTCAGGTGACTGGGGGGAGGATAGTCATTGGAACTTTGGAATTGGGTCATAAGTAGTTTTTGGGGTGTCCATCATAACTTCAAATGGTCACTAAGTGACCGGTTGTAAGTCAAGGACTACCTGTGGAGGCACCTACTGAGAACCAGCCTGCTTTGTTCACACAGCAGGTAATCTTTCATGTAAGTACTTTCATAAGTACTTCTGCTACTCCAAAGATCAGACAAATGATCAGAAATAGGGATGAGCAGTACTTTGGTTCCAAAGTTGAAAAAGAAGAGGAGTTGTGGATACACACAGTGTAGCTGTTGATGCCTCCATAAAGAAGCTATGTTTCCTCTGTTTGCATAGTAGTTATGCCATTATGGCACAGTAGTTATGCCATATTTGGCTTAGAGGTGACAAGATGATGTAGCAGCATGTTCAGAGCAGGTGAGGGTGCCCTGTTGGTTCCTCTTTAATTCAAATGTGTATTTTCCTAGGATCATGTGGCTAAGTGAAGAGAATCAGCTTTCTTCCAAATGCCTTATCAGGTGGGGCATCCATATCCATGACCATTAGGAAGTGTTTTTTAGCTTTGAATCTGCACATCATGTCAAGAACCAGATATTCCAAGTAAAATTGCATTTAACAGAGAACTTGCTTAGCTTCAGGTCTGAAAATTTGGGATTTAAGTATAGAATACTTGAATACTTATCTCCCAGATTGGAATGATATGTGCAAAAGACTGGGGTAAAGAGATATTGCCTAGGGAAAAGTCAGAAAAGAGAGGACATAGCCCACAGCTGTATAATGGGTGGAGAAAAAGGCTCAGAAGAGACCCCCCCCCCCTAAAGGCTCTAAAGGAGATGGTGGGAAATTTGTACTTTTAAACTTGCAAGGTTCTGTTCATGTAGCCTTACAGTAAAGTAGAATTAGCTCATTGATTATGTTTCCTATCTGGTGTACCTAGGAAGGATGACATCATTCTTTTTTGGGGGGGTTGCATTTCATCTGAATAAGAGATATTAACTGAATGAAAGGATGCCCATGTGGAGTATAGTTGATCTGTCTCAATGAGGCACTTCATACAAATAAGTTATTTCCCCTACTGTTCTGAAAAGAATGTGTAGAAAGAGGAGTAAACATTGTAAATATTGGAGTAAACAAGTAAACATTGAATTACTATATTCAAAATGGAGTAATTTTTTCTTAAAACATAATTCTGTCATACACGCAGGTTTGTCCTTTGTGGACTGACAGAATGTGAAGAGATTCTAAATGTAACTTCATTACTGCTTAAATTTTCATTTTCAGACAGGTATCTAAGGCAAAACCAAAAGCATCGGCGTTGTGAATGCCTGTTCTTATATACAACAAATTGAGAGTAGAAGTTTAAAGATACTGAGTTAAGCTGTTTCAGAAAGAGACAGATATTTAAGGAAGTATTTAAACAATATTTAGAGAGCAATCAGATCTTGAAAAGACTAGCCAGAATATTGTAATGTGTGTTATGCATGAATGGCAAGCCAACTTTTTCTAACTCTTGAACAACCCCAAAACACTTCTCCTGTGTTTTGGCAGTAAAGAATACAATTTATCACACTTTAAATAACACTGCTATTATGAAAATGAGGGAGGGAGGGAGGGAGGGAGGAAGGAAGGAAGGAAGGAAGGAAGGAAGGAAGGAAGGAAGGAAACCAGCCAACCCACCTTGAACTTTACAGATGCAAGATATTTTTAAAGTACATCATGCTGGCACATTTGATGCAGCCACTAGAACCCATGACACTTTCCCTCTTGAACACCCACAGGAGAAAAGTAATGTAACACTTGAAATGGAGAAAGATGAGAGAAAATAGCAAGGAAGAAACAGCTACTCAAGATTTTCTTACATTAAGAAGAAGCGCTCTTAAGATTTAAGCCCTGTGAGAAAAATTGAGTTCGAGGGAGGCAATACTATTATGGAAACTGTAGGTTAACTTGTAGACAGATCACCTGAACTCATCATGTAGATCTGAGTAGAATAGCTGGCCCATTTTACCACTGAGAGTAAATTTTTATTACCAGTATTTATTTGTATCCTGCTTTCATTATTTTTAGAAATAGGTCAAAGCAGCAAGGATACCCAATCCTTTTTCCTCCTTCTATTTTCTCCACAACAACAATCCTGTGAGGGGGGTTGGGCTGAGACTGACTGGCCCAAAGTCACCCAGCCATCACACTGAACTCACAGTCTCCTGGCTTCTAACCTGGTGCCTTAACTACCAGGCCATGGGTAGGCAACCTTGGCTCTTTTATGACTCGTGGACTTCAACTCCCAGAATTCCTGAGCCAGCCATGCTGAGGGGAAAGGGAGAGGTTTCCAAGCTGAGCCATGGTGGCTCAGGAATTCTGGGAGTTGAAGTCCACGAATCATAAAAGAGCCAAGGTTGCCTACCCCTGCACTAGGCCAAACTGGCTCTCTCAGTAGCTTTAGTAGCTTTTTTGGCAGCCATATGGAAATAGTTTATGCATTCTTGCTGGGTGGCTTTTCAACATGCCAAGCTAGCCTGCAGTTCTGGGGTTCACTAGAGCTGTTCCATCCAAGCACTAACCAGGCTCATTACCTTCTCCACTCAAATGATGCCATACAAATTTTAAAATGGAGGCATATTAAGTGTCAGCCTTCGAGGAAAAGGCTGATGTGCTGCCAGTTCCCCATGACTTTTTAAAACAGTAGTTTCCACAAGATCAAGCTCCAGGCGACAATGAGCCCAAGAGAGAAAGAAGAGCAACTGAGTGACTGAGCAAATGATTTGCATGCCAAGTTCTCACCAGACTCAAATTCCACCACCTCCAGGTGAGACTAAATAAGATTCTAAGTCAGAACTGAGGTAGAATTACTACTAACTGCTGCCGATTAATATAAAAAGGACTGTCAACAATGTGACTCATTGCCACAGATAAATAGCACAGCAAAAATATCATTTACTCTGGTTTCTTTTGGGGGGGGGCTAAAATGTTTATAAAGATTGTAAATATGGATGTACGAAAAGAGGTAAGTTAGAAAACCAATAGTTTCTTTTTTCTATTTCATAGTTTTTGATAGTTTAACTGCTATAAACTTGTTTACTTTCTTTTACTGATGTGTGCAAAAACATCAAGTAACAATACAATGGGGATCTGAATAGTAATTGGTTTAAGATCAAAACTTTACTGTATAACAAATAATTTGACACAATCTGTAGTTTTTTTTAATGTTACGTTCAGTTCTGGATGAAAAAGTCAGTTATCTAGTCTATTTTTGAAAACCTGAAGTGATGGAGCACCCACACAATGCTGGCATCCTAAATAGTAATTAATTAATTCTATATAAATAAAAATGTAAATGTACGTTTGTTCAAAATCTTAAATCTCCGAAAGTTCTTCACCTATTGCTTTGAAATTTTGACATAACATTGCATTTGAATACGTGCGTGTTTTTATATACCTACTATTATATAGATGTCACACCTGTGACAGGTAAAAACATGCGTGTATTCAAATACTATTGTATACCCACAAGCATTGTGAAATTAAACATATTACGTGGCCGGGTACAGCTAGTATTGAAATACTTTTCTTATCCTCAACAATCTAACACTGGAGTGTTAGTAATCTTCAATCAATATTGTACAATTATTGTATTGAGATTGGTTTTTTTTTTCTTCCATTCAATTGTGTTGGGTTGTCAGAGACTGCCTGGAGAAGTCCCTGCAGTTTTCTTGGCAAGGTTTTTCAGTCCTGGTTTTCTATTACCTCTTTCCTAAGGCTGACTGGTGGAAGTGACTGGTGGGCCAAGCCACTCAGTTGCTTTTCTGCCCAAGTTAGGACTAGTACTCATCATCTCCTTGTTTCTAAATCTAGCCTGATGCCTTAACCAAACTGGCTCTCATTGAGATTTATAATAATATAATAAAAAAGAGAGAAAATGGTTCATTTAACTGGTTTACTCAGACTACTAAATATGGTTTTCTGCATAAACCACAGCTGACTGAATCTACACAGTATACAAACCTAAAATGAAACACAGAAATGCTGCAAAGTATCAAGGCTGTTTCTTATTATCCAAATAAAATACATTTTGCATCCCACTGAAACAAGGAGCACCCCTTATGAATTCAAATTCGACTTATTAAGAACTTTACTGCGGGCAAGTCCAAAAGAGCAAGTCCAAGTCTTGAGAAAGGAGAGATTTTTTTTTATTTTTTATTTTTTATTTTACAATTTCTCAGAATGTTCCTCTTCCATTGCAAGATTTCATAACGGGTTGAATTTAGCTGTCGGCTGGCAGAAGCCCGTAAACTGCCCTATATCTTATACTCCCGTCCGAGGAAGGAAGATGCCAAGTTACACGAAGCGTTTTGGAACCGCGTTTCTACTCAAAAACTCAAGCCTTATGAGCTCAGCCGGACTTTCCCCTTTAACGCGGCTGTTAAGCGGCAACCCATCCCTTTTAGCCGAAAGATTTCCACCGCTTTTCACAAGCGTCGGATGTTAGCCTTCAGCAAAGACTCCGATCCCCCGCCGGCGGCCAGCAACCAACGGCCGGCCCAAATGGCCCGCCTTGACCTCTTTTCAAGTTATATTATTACCTCTCGACTCCTGACTCCACCCCTTTTTGGAATCTTTGCAAACCCCGCCATTGTGATATCACCGGACGGATACAATGAAGCGCTCGGGGCGCTTAGCAACAACAAGCCGGGGTGGGGGGTGGGGGCGTGGGCGGAGGCGTGGCTTTCGCGCAACTACCAACTGTTGCCCAAGGTGGTGGGGAGGAGGAGGCGAGCGGGTTGAGGAGCGGAGGCGCGACAGGCTGTATGTCTTTCGCCGGCGCTGCGGCTGAGCCTTTTTTTGCTCTCTTGAGTGACTCTGTGGAGGGGGGAAGGCGGACGGGAGCGTCGCCTCGCCTCGCCGCTGAGCCAGGTAAGAAAAAGGATGGAGGGCGAGAAGGAAGGCCGGCAGGCCAGCCGGGATGAATGGGGCGAGGAGAGGCGGAGTTACGGACGGGCGGAAGAATGAGGGGAGAAGAGAGAGAGACTCTCCCTTCTTCTTTTTCTCAGACCTGCTGGGAAGTTTGGAGGGCGATTAGGGGCTGGCTTCTTTGTGTGGAAGCTGTCTCCCTTCCCCCCCCACACACACACCTCGCATATGGATCTGGTTTGAGCTGGGCGGACCGGCGGCTTCCAGTTAACCTGCTTCTCCTTGTCACGCGTTTTTCTTTCTTCTTCTTCATCATCATCATCATCATCAATAATCATCCTCATCCTCATTATCATTATTATCATTATTATCATCATCATCATCATCAATAATCATCCTCATCCTCATTATTATCATTATCATCATCATCATCATCATCATCATCATCATCAATAATCATCCTCATCCTCATTATCATCATTATTATTATCATCATCATCATCATCATCATCATCAATAATCATCCTCATCCTCATTATCATTATCATCATCATCCTCATCCTCATCAGTATTATTATTATTATTATTATTATTATTATTATTATTATTATTATTATTATTATTATTAATTTGCCCTTCCGGCATCCAAACTTCTCGCCGCGCCAGCCCTCTGTGCGACGCATCTGGTGCTGGGCAGGCGTCCAGGACTGCACCGACTGTCGCCGTCCCTTGTCCGCGCGAGTTTCTGCCCTCCCGATCGCGGGTGGGCGGCAGGCTGGGAAAAGGCTTGCCCGTTCGCCACCCCCCTTTCGCCGCAGCCTGTTCCGTAGGGAAATCGGCCGTTAGAAAAAAATGTTGCATTGGGGAAACCTCAAGGCATCGGCAGAACAGAATTCCAGAAAGGGGGAGGGGGGGACACCCTCTTTTGTTAGCGCTTGCTTGGTTTTCTGACTCGACGGAGCGGGACGCGGGGGGGGGGGGGGAAGAGAATGGTCGAATACCCGGTGCAGTAGCAGCTCATGCAAGCTGAATATCAGAATATGGGGTGATTTTTTTTTTTGGAGGAGGAGGAATTGCTTTATTTTTATTTCTGAATTTGCGAAACGAGTTGGCTTGGAAGAAGAGGGCAGAGACGCAACCGGGGTGGGCGAAAAGAGAGCCCTGATCCGTGACCTTTTCGGGCTGCTTTGGCCGAGTGTGAGATTTTCTGTTGTTGGGAACCCTTGGGAAGGAGGAACGCGTCCAGGGATTAAAGAGACGCATAATAGTCTCTCCCAATCTGCATTTTTTTGATAGTGGCTGAATGGGCAAAGTCGTGAATCTTAGCCTAACTTTTAAAGATTCCCCCTTCCTTGGCTTTGGAACGATTCCGGAAAGAAAATTTTTAAATTGTGTAGATCTAAGAATGCAGATCCTTGAATCTCTACTGGAGTAGGACAAATACTTTCTTTACAATGCAGGATTTATCTCTTTTAATTTAAAGACTACTGTAGACTCCCTGCTAGCTGAAGAGCTAGACATTGCTATACTTGCTGGCATCTGATGGTAAAAAAATCTATGCTGATACTGTATATTCTGTATATACTTGCTGGAAGGGTGCTGCGTTAATTTATGTTTCTGCTATATGCAGGCATGTTTTATACATATGCTGTGAGAAATCAAAAGCATTCCTATATTGCATGGGTTTGTTGCCAAACCTGGTAACAGTTAAACAAAGCATTTGGTCCTTATGGCACTGGGGTTTGTTAGTGCTTACAATTAAAATGGCAAGAGATACTGTACTTACAATTATATAGAAATAACCTGATAGTTTTCAGCAAGAATGCCTGTGTTCTCCAATACATTTCTTTGAGGCTGTATGTGTGTGTAGTCATCTATTTCTGCAGCAATACTCGGAATGCTTTATAAATTTTGCTTTTTCATATCAACTTCGTGAGGTATGTCCACTCAACATTACTCATGTGCCTTCTTATTGAGCATGACAGATAGATTATTTGAGCCTTAAGTAGCCCTATGCCAGGGCGATCTCTATGGTAGTTGATTGCTTTTTCAGTTTAATAGATTTTAATTCTATCATATCAATAATCCAGTGTGGGGGATGAAGTAAGAAAGTGGATTGTAGCCACATAATGGTTAAAAGTAAAACAGGCTGGGTGGGTGATGAAGCATTTTTGCAAAAGATTGATGTATTTAAATGTACCCCTTGTGCTTGCAAGTGCTGTTTGAAAAGACTTGAGAAAGCAGGCTTTCTCACTTCCTGGGCTTCCATTTTAGATTTTCATTTGTAGCCAAGAGATTTAGAAAAAGTTGGTTTGTGTAGGGCTGTCATTTCTATGATCGTCTAAAAATGAAAATGAAACATGAAAGTACAATATAGCTTAATGTTTGAGTTGTAATTGGTGGGAAGTGCTTCTAAGAAATGGATGAACCTGCCTCACGAGTAACGGTTGCATTTCTGCCCAATTAGGATGTTGAGTCATTTTCAGTATGACTGTAAATTCTATTGGCATTTAAAGAATATTAGATGAGTTGCCTTATTTTCTGCTAATGATGTTAGTTTACCGTGCCTGATATAAATTAGCTTGGTCTTGTTTTGTATATCGGTGTTTGACAATGAGTGTGCCAGTGTACTGCTTGTACTGTTGAGTTGTGGACAATATTTTTGTCTTGCAAAGTAGTAGTAGATTCAGCTTACAAGAGCAGCAGAACAGGATTAGGGTGAAGTTGGGTTATTTGACACATTTTGGTGTACATGTCAAAATGTGCCAAATCTAACATGCTGTCCATGTTTCAGCAAGGAATGCTGAATATAGCAACAGTGTAAATAAGGTTAGTAGCTTACGTGATTGCTTCTCTATATTATATGAAATTGATTGATTGACTAACTTGATTAACCTGTTATGATGCCAGTTGGAGGTCAGTATCCATCTGGTAATGACCATGACATGTTAAATATAAGAGATGTAAATGCTAAAATTAGAAAAATGAAATTAAAGAAAAAATAGACATAGATCTAAAATATGTGCTAGAACCCAAGAATTTGTGCCAAGTAGATTTTGAGGGTATAGGAAAATAAGATTCCGTAGGTTGGTGCTAATTGAACATTATATTTCAATAAATGGTGATAACAGAAGCCATCAACACTGGGTTTGGGGGAAAATTGTGCTACATTCTAATTTGATTGGAACTGAGTGGAAATCATGCTAGGTAACGAACACGAAGTGATAGGTGGGAAGAAGATGAGAAAGTAGAAAAATGCATCGACTCATTTTGAGATTCAAGAATGAATAAAAAATGTGACTGGTGACAATCTGCTTAGAAAAGAGAAAAATATAAATCTAAAAGCAAAATTGAGTCAATTGTTTATGGATGGGAGAATGACAGAATTAGAGAAGGATGCATGGGGGATGAGGTGCAGTGATGAAGTGAAGGAGGCTATGGGTAGGAAAAATGGGGAAAGAAATGATTCCTACAAAAATCAGAATGAAAGAAAGGTAATTGCAAAGAATGTGCTCAAGGGGGTAAGGCATCTCAGAAGAGTGAATGGAATTAAAAATGAATTAGTGGAGGAATATTCAAATGAATATTTTAGGAATGTTTATGGGAAGAGTGATCAAAGAGTGGAACTGAAACAATTGGTTTAAGCTTTTGTGTCAAATGATGATAGAAAGGAAATCATACATATGATAATGTTTGAAAATGGTGAGACTGCCAGCAGAGATTGTAAAAGCTGAACCAAAGAGTTCCAGTGTGGCTTATTTAATACAGATTTGCATGTGGAGGCTCAATCTGTGCCTGATAATCAGAAGAAAGTTTTCTCCTATATGAAAGGCAAGGTAGCAAGGGTGAATGCAAAAATTACAGAGGGACCAGTGAAAGTGTTCCCGGGAAAGAATTTGGCAGGATTTTCAACTCAAAAGCTAAGAGACAAGATAGTCAGCAAAATTTGGGAAATGTAATGTGGCTTCATGCCAAGCAAGGGATGTGTGGACCAGATATTCACTTTTCCACAGGTCATTGAGAAATATATGAAAGCAACAAGAAAATGTACTGAATATTGTTGATTTAGAGAAAGCATAAGATAAAGGCAATTGGCTTAAATTATGACAGTCGTTGATGAATGGTTTGAAATTGAGTCTGGAGCTGGAACTTAGTGCTATAAGAAACAATCATTTCTTGTTGGATTTTCTGTTATGACTATTGCATTTTTCAAATTTGATAACTTTCAGGATTTAAATAAAAAAGGCAAAAAAATAGTCTGGCCAGTGCACTTATTGAACACTCCCTCTTTATCCAGACTCCTCTGTTAAGCTAATCTATATATGGAAATACGAAAGGAAGAGTGAATAGTAGGCTTGGTGGGTTAGAGATGTTCACTTCTGCCCAACACTTTGAAAGCTTCATCTCTCTCTACCTATGAAATGTACTGAACTGAGCTCCACGTTATGCCACATTTCTAGTCCAGCTTCCTGTTGAATTAGTAAAGTAAATGAAGAACACTCCAGACTGAAAGTTGGAACCATTCTGCTGCCTTCCTCTTTTTCTGCTGGAAATGCCAAATTTCACAAGAGGCTGTGAATGTGGGAGGGATTTGCTCTTGTTTGTTCTGCAAAGGAGAGTTCACCTTCAATAATGTTCAATAAAGTTGCTCCAATCAGGGTTTCTCCTATTTGGGGTTTGAGAAACAATGACCACTCCTTCACATAGCCAATGACCCCCCTTGATGGACTGGGTGTCCATTGCAAATTTTTACCTTCCGAAGTCACGCATAATATATTCATATGCTGTAGCTGGTTGAGAGATGGTTGACTTACTAGGAGGTCTGTTAGAAGCGGGAGTCGTGAAAATGTCTGTATTTCTCTCCTTTCACATATGGGTGTTCTGTCCCTCCCTTTCCTGTGCCTGTCTGATGCAGACCTATATTGAGCAGCAAGAAAAGAGTTAGAATGAAATGTGGGAGGAATTATATTTGTGTTTTGCTGTTTATTTATTTTTTTTCTGTT